CAGAAACTTTAACACAAATATGGGTGGAAGAAAGACTGAAGTAATTTTTAGAACCGTCTACCTCTGAAAAAAAAACAAGGAAATAAGGTAAGAGATAATTTACAGTAGCAGCCATTAAAAATGAACCTTCCCAGTCAAACAACCAGCCAAGGGCTAGCTAAGGACCAACCAATGACCAGCCAAGGACCAGCCAATGACCACCCAAGGACCACCCAAAGACCAGCCAATGACCAGCCAAGGGTCAGCCAATGACCACCCAATGACCAGCCAAGGACCAGCCAATGACCACCCAAGGACCACCCAAGGACCAGCCAAGGACCAGCCAATGACCGACCAAGGACCAGCCAACGACCAGCCACGGGCCAGCCAATGACCACCCAAGGACCAGCCACGGGCCAGCCAATGACCACCCAAGGACCAGCCAAGGACCAGCCAATGACCACCCAAGGACCAGCCAACGACCAGCCACGGGCCAGCCAATGACCACCCAATGACCAGCCAAGGACCAGCCAATGACCAACAAAGGACCACCCAAGGACCAGCCAAGGACCAGCCAATGACCACCCAAGGATCAGCCAACGACCAGCCACGGGCCAGCCAATGACCACCCAAGGACCAGCCAAGGACCAGCCAATGACCACCCAAGGACCAGCCAAGGACCAGCCAATGACCACCCAAGGACCACCCAAGGACCAGCCAACGACCAGCTACGGGCCAGCCAATGACCACCCAAGGACCAGCCAAGGACCACCCAAGGACCAGCCAATGACCACCCAAGGACCAGCCAACGACCAGCCACGGGCCAGCCAATGACCAGCCAAGGACCAGCCAATGACCACCCAAGGACCAGCCAAGGACCAGCCACGGAAACTGGGGACATTTTTAATGGCTACTACTACTACAAATTAATGGGAGGAGTAAAGAGGAGTAAAATCCTCTGTACAGATCACACCTTTAAGCATAAAGTGAAGCATAGTTGCTAATCGAACCTAGGCAGGCGGCCATGTTGGCCTGTCTTTACCTGCGTGGAAAGAAACAATCCGTTGCGTATCCAGCGAACAGTGGGTCGAGGTTTTCCAGCAGCCAAGCAGGTCCAGTGAAGTTCGGAGCTGATCTCCACCTCTGAGTCGCTCATGACCTGCAGCCACTCCGGCTGAGCTGCAGGACCAGAGGGGCTAGTCAAAAAAAACATCCCAGACCGATGACAGACATGAGCAAATGCTCTGTTTCTCACCTTGCACTACGATGCGTCCTTGGTACGTGTCTTTTCCCTCAGAATTGTAGGCTTCACACTCATAGATGCCCTCATCATCAAAGGAGAGCTCAGGTAGGGTGAGGGTGGGGCTCTCTGAGGAGGAGCCTGCTTTAGACGGCATTAAACCGTCAACCTTCCTCCATCGAAGCTTAGGGACAGGACTGGAAAACAGCAGAGAAATGAATAAACACTAATAATCCCAGCGGACTGAATGTGTGGCAGAGGAACAGTAACTAACCTTGTTACCGTACTTTTTTTGAGGATCTGTACTTATTGTGATTTTATGTCTTTTATTCTTACAGATAATTTTTGAGACTTGTTCTTCTTTATTTTTAAACTCTGGGACGTCGTTATTCAATAAAAAAAAACTTAAATCTCAGTGGGAACCGTGTTCTGGTTGTCCTGATTCACCGTCCCTGCTGGTCGGCAGAGATTATAGGGAGGATTTTTATTCATATTGTTAAATTTCACTTTAAATAATCAAAATATTTTTAGTGTCATTGATTCTCAAAATAAATTTATTATTTCTATTATTATTATTGTCCTAAGAGTTGATAACATCAATATACTGATAAACTATCATGTATTATACAAAATGATACAAAAAAATTATAAAAAAAATTATAAAAAATTATAAATAAATTATAAAAATTATAAAAATATAAATGATATAATCCGTTCCTCCCATACCATGGGGAAAAAAAAACAAACAAATCCTGTTAATTTTGAAACTGTTATTATTTATATATTATTTAACATAATATTAACATAATATTTTTCAATATTATGTTGGAAACATTTATTATTTAATATCTTGAAATCCAAAATAGTTAAAATAAATATGTCTGTTGGTTTGATGATCTTTATTTAATGTAATTTTAATTCTCAGTTCCAAATGTCTGCTGTAGCATTGCTCCAGACATTTTGAATTTAGAAATCTTTCTGGATGGAAAGCGAAACATCTTCAGACTTGGAAAACAAAGTCCAGCTGTTTTGGTTTGAACTTTAGTTGGAATATTTGTAAATTATTAGATAAACATTTAAACAGAAAATATATTTCATAAAGATCATCAAAGGGGGAACTGATTATATCAGGTGGCTAAATTATATGGTTCCCCTCTCATAACTTTGGCAAATAATGATCAAATGTCACCAAATCCACAGAGTTTGTTGTTGATGAAGAGAGGAATAAACACAGTTAAAGACGTTCAGATGAATTCATTTCTTCCCATGTTATGGAGGAGGAACGGATTATTTCAGGCAGCTGAAATCTCCATTCTCTCCTCTCCTCCCATATCTTTGAGAAATAAAGAGCAACTGCTTCCAAATTCTCAGAAATTATTATGTGTCATAGCATGATGGATAGTAAACATGTCCTTAAAGGGGAACGCCATTTTTTTTTTTAACATTTGGTCCCTTGATTTTCCGTTATTCCATCATGTTCTACTCACCCATATGAGTTTAGTGTCATTTGGAGCCGTTCTGATATTCCGTTAGGTTATATCCAGGTAACGTCTTCCTATAGGCAACGACTTGAAGGAAGAATGAACGGCTACGGTTCATTCTTCCTGTCCGCTGAACTGCTGCTAGTTTTCCTCACATGCCTGGAAGATGTCTAGTGCTGCTACCACAGATGATCTCGATCTCCAAATGAACGATTCCGATTAGCTGGAATGAATAGAAGGGGTAGAGCGTAGCCGCCTGGTGCACTCAGGCGTTGCCAGATCCTAGCAGCTCTGTGGTAGAGCTGAGAAAAGGCTTCTTCTCTATGTTACAAAAGGCTCAGGCAAACTGTAGACGCTTTAAGGAAGCAAATGGCTTCAAAAAGCCACTTTGCAACCAGCTAGCAAACAGAACAGAATGAGAGCCACTTAGAGGCTGGCAGACGTTCCTCTTATAGCTTTGACCTTTGAACAAAAGGTCAAAACCGTTTTGATCTGAAATATTTTCGCGCCTTTCACAATGAACATTTCATAATATACATCAGGATATAAACTAATTTTAAAAACCAAGTGTGCAACTTTTAAAGGCTACAAGTTATGATTTAAGGTACAGTAGCAGCCACTGAAAATGGCAGCCCACTTCCCTGCAACTCCCAGCAAAATCCCCTTCATCGTCCAGCCACTCGAGGGCCCCCATCTTGCATATTTGTTAGTGTAATGTACATTGGATAAATGAAGTTTTTTTAACGAAAAAAAACAAAAAAACTCCAGTCCGACGATGTCATACACACGCCGCTTTGTTTTTAAAACATATAAATATAAAAAATATAACCTTGGATGTTTGGGGGACAGTGATTGGCCAACATGTTCTGAATGCTGGCGTACCATAATGAATAAATGATGAACAGTTTAGTTTGTGCCTTCAAGTCGTTGCCCATAGGAAGACGTTACTGGATATAACCTAACGGAATATCTTCAGAACGGCTCCAAATGACACTAAACTCATATGGGTGATGTAATAATGTAAAATCAAGGGCCAAATGTAAAAAAACAACAACAAATTCTGTCCTGCTCAGCATCTCTGGGAACTCCTTCAGGACTGTGAAGGCTGTGACGGCCTCTGGAAGCTCAACAAGAGAACGCTTAGAGTGAGCAAAACAGTAATCAAAGCAAAAGGTGGCTTCTTTGAAGAACCTAGAATATAAGACATATTTTCAGTTGTTTCATACTTTTTTAAGTATATAATTCCACAAATAAAGAAAACTCTTTGAATGAGATGGTGTGTCCAAACTTTTGGTATAAACTGTATATGTGTGTGTGTATGAATTAGTTTGTGGATCTCATTTTAATACTTAATTGTAAAATATATAAATGCATGTGCAGTATATACTTCATCCAGTTTGAGTTCAGTTCTAATTGTTTTGATTCTGAATAAATCTGTACAATCTAACTGAAAGGTCATTTTAGAATTTGTTTTGGTCTTTGAAGTGGTTGTGGCGTGTAAGAGATTAAAGTAATATTATCTTTGACTCGTCTTTGATGTGATTAAAATGAGATCTAAGGCGCCTCCTATTCATTCTGACAGCAGCTGTCTGAACTGTGGTCTGACCCAAGATGGCCGCCCTATAGCTACATCTCTCCCGCTCCCAGCAGCATCGGATGAGGCATCTATGGTCGTCAGATGAGATCCAGGTTAGCAGGAAGTTTTCCGGCGCTAGAGGAGTCTCATTTTTTTTAGCAAGAAGTCTGAGGGTGAGTCTATCCATAATTAAAAGCAGGGAGAAAATGTTTGTTATTTATTAAAGGAATAGTACATCCAAAACATGATTAGCCTTCATTTTCTACTC